TAAAAGATGCCTTTTTCTTTCTTGTAATTTTCTGTAATTGTTATACAGAAAGGTTAAACAGAAGAAGAGTGTTAGCAATTGATGAAAATCCATTAAATTTTTAAAAATTCTTATAATTACAATTTTTATATCTAACTCAAAAAAATTATTTCTAAATGTGTATTTAACACATCTTCATGAATGCATTTACTATAACTGAAGAACAAGCTGTAACTACCTTTTTTTCTAAGAAGATTTATTATATTTTGTACTTATTTGCATTAGCTTCAGTAATTTTACAAATTCTAGCATAAAATTAAAATCCTTCTAAAACTCCCTTTAGTATATCACTTGGTCTTTTTTATTTCAGGTATTAGGAGCATCTTGATTTGTGTAGTAATTATTTTATCTGTGAGGGTACTTCAAAAAGTTCATGATAAGATTCATATTTTTCAATTCTGTTTTTCCATGAATTTTTCGAAGTACCCTTATATGTACAGGAATTCCTCATATAGATTATTTTATCTGATTCTTCTAACAATCCTTTAAAATAAGCATGTCTGCCATTATCCTTAATTGCCAGATTAAAATCTAGAACCAAATAAGAGTTCTGATCCAACTAAGATTCAAATCAGGGTCTTCTGACACACTTGCCTTCTCATATATGTAATAAATAAGAGTTTTCTGATAGGTTTGCCATATTGTATATGTAATAAATTAAGCAATGCAGAGTCAGGTAACCCACTAGTGCTCCTGAGCAGATGGTGGGAGATTTAGTCTTTCATTTTTGTAGTATAACTTATATCACACAAATTACCTAACTCATTTTTTCTTGGCTTCTCAAAAACAAAAATAATTCTTCTATTATTTCATGAAAATATTAGGTTTCAGGTTGGGAAACTACTCCAGTTTGCGAAGAAAGTGTTTTTAAAATAAGCAATTTTAAAAAATTGTTTCATTATTTGTCAGGCTGGAGCTATATCACTAGTTGTCAAAATAAACCCTGACACCTGCCTTCAAGGAACTCATGTTCTAGCAGGGGAGATAGACATATAACTTAACAATAAGGTAATCTAATAATTCATTTCCCCACTTACTCAGTTCACTACATTTTGGCCAATAGCACCTTTTATTTAGGATTTTATCTTTATCTAGAACCATCACAATTCACTGAAGCATAGTACTATTAATACACTGTTATAGAGAATTTCCAACTTCTTCTGCCCTGCATGTTTGTAACTGGCTGCATGTTTGACCACAGCATATCTGGTAATTTAAACTAGCAAATCAGGACCATAGACTTTTAGCTTTATTTCCTTTGGGTGGTGGCCTCTGGGTTTCTGTCACCTCATGGATTTTTGCTTTTGTGCCCACTGAGTGCCAGAAGGGAGAATCAGTGCTTTCGGGGCATAAGGGAGACCAGAACACAAAGCTTCAGAGGGGCCTTGATGGAAAGAGGTATAATACCAAGGCCTTCTCACTAGTTAAAAATATAGCATGTGCCAAAATAGCACCATTTGAGCAGTCTAGCCGATAATCTCAGAGTTTTTCTGATAGGATGTTGAGATGAAGTCCTTCACTAGCTCCTAGAGAGATTTCTAGATTTAATTTTAGACGGTAAAAAGAAAAAATGCAGCCAAAATTCTGAGAAGTGAGAAATAGAAACTTAAATGCCAGAACTACGATTGTTCTGTTTCATACTCACTTGGCTTTTTCAAGATGCTATATTTTGTTATACATATAATGCATTTTAATTGTTTTTTCTTTAATGTCCCTTCAAGATTTTCATGTCAGTTTCTCCTCTGATCCTTGTATGACACTTGCCACATCTTGTGTGACTTGTAGAGCTGGGTCACTAAAGTAGGAAGAAAACACATATAAAAGCAAGAATTGAACTGAGATGAAAATTGAATTTGAGAATAGCACATCAGCCTCTCACATAGTGTCAAGTGTTGGGTTGGTTATGAGTGACAGGGCTGACAAATCAGTCATACTTTATTTAAGGTCTTTAATTGGCATGCTCATGGCGGGGGGGGGGGCTGGAAAATTCAGTAAAGAAGAAAAAAATCACCCATAATCCTACCACTTTAAGATAGATAATCACTGTTTATTAATTATTTTGGTACATCTCCTTCCAATTTCTTTTGTTTGCATAGTTGAGGTCATGGTGTGTAGACAACTTTATAGCTTGCTTTTTGCACTAACATTTAACAGGAGATAAATAAGACTTTTAAATTATGTGGGGGTGTGAAGTTTATTTAATAAAACAGAAAGGGAAATGTTTTTAGCACTTCTTTGAAGAAAACGTCACCCTAGCAACTTAATCTACTTTACTATAATTTACATAATTTTAATTCTTAAGGATACCACTCAACAGGCCGTTGTGTTCAGACAGAAGCATTGCCACCTTGCAATGTGATGACTTTTCGGTGAGATGTAGTCTAGCAGTAGTAGCAAGGCTATACCAAAGGTAAACACCCAAGAAAGAGCCCAGGGTGGCAGATTGCTGGCAGAGAGCCACAGGTCCTTCCTGGTGGTCATCCACATTGCTGTCCCTCCTGATGGCCAGCCTCAAGTTGTTTCAAACCCTTGTCTTTTTAAGATCCTAGTTTTGCCTGAATCTTATTTCCTATTAAGGAAATAACCCAGGTAAAGAACTATTGGACCTGAACTTGTAGGCCACATGCAAATTTTAGGAAACGGAACATTAGATGCCTGACAAGTTCATGATAATTTCAGATGGAGGAAGCCAAAGGGGAAAAAAATTTTGTCTTCTACTAAAAATATGACACCACCCGCTGAAGATCAGGGGTTGCATGCTTTTGGGCTCTGACTTACAAGAATCCAATCATCACATTTTAAAATGGAAGCATTCAGTTCAACCAATATTTATTGAAAACAATCAATTATATTTTATAGGAAAACAAAAATGAATAATAAATGACCCTTCTAGGTGCTTTTATTCTAGTAGAGGAAATAAGATGTATAAATTGTGATAGTCTCGGCAAAAGTTAATAAATACAAAAGCGAAGCAGGAGAAAGTTCCGGCAGGAGACAGAAGAATGCATCATAAAGGAAGTAGAGATGGGAAAAAATGTGTTGAGTTTTATCTTGTAGAGATAGGTAAGGCAGTTAAACAGCCTGCACAGACATTCATCGTAAAGTTGTTCATGGCGTTTATTTGAGAGATTATGGGTAGCCTTCTTTCAGTTTTGTCATTTCCCTTTTAATAGCTCTGGAGAAGATGCAAATAAATTTACAGGAAAGGATAAAAATTTTGCAGAATTCTATTTCCCAGATAAAAATTCTGTGAACATTGTAGTGTGTTTTTCCCATTCATCATTCTGTGCATATGATTAGGTTAGAATGGAACAGATTCTGGGTGCTGGCTTAGCTCTGCCTGCAGGGCTCCTGAGGAAGTGCTGCTGACATTTTTAACTCTGCACTCATATGCCTAGCCCAGTGCACATTCTCATAAACAAAAACTGACAAATGCCCATGTTCCTTTGCTAGGTGCGAGACAACAAACCTCTGTGAGCCTGTGTGAATCAGGGTGTGTGCTTGTAGATGCCTGACACTCTGAATTGAATTCAGGGCTGAATCCAACTGGAGGATGTGTGGCTTCTAGAGGGAGGTCATCCCAAGTTCATTTCCTGTTGATGAGCCAACAAATAACTGGATAGGTGGATATACATTTTTTTGTATTATAATGAATGCTTCTTGACTTGAAATGCTAGCTACTTTTTTATCCAAAAATGGAAATTTTTTCCATTCTCAAATTGAGTGATTATTTTAAAATTCAAATGGTACAGATAAGAATAAAGTAAAAATTACCTGAAATCAAGCCATCCAGAGATAACATACTTTGGCAAATGTTTTCCCAACCTTTTTGTTTTTCTGTATGTGGGTATTTTTTTTCCTACTCCAAAAATGATGGTCATCTTTCTATATCACTAAATATCAATCAGTATTTTACATTTTGATACAAACTGCCAAAACACTCTCCAGCTGTTTGCTTTCCCAGCAATAGTTATGCCAGAGGTGGGTATAATCTGCCTAATTGGGGGAGTAAATTTTATTGAAGTGTAACAGACAGAAAAGTACATAAATCGTAAGTTTACAGCTTAATGAACTTTTAGAAGTAAACATACTTGAAAACCCAGCACCCAGATCAAGAAATAGAATATTACTAGCACCCAAGAAGCCACCCTTAAGCCCCCCTATCCAGTCACTACTTCCCTAAGGGTAACCACTGTTCTGTTACTTGTCCAATTAGTAATCTTTACTAATCTGATGAGTAAAAAATAATCTTGTTTTTGTTTCTCGTTACCTTTCTGAAGTTACTACTTATTTATAAAATTCACTGTAGGGCCCAGCTTTTGGAAGTGTGATCTCCTCCATGACAGGAATGAATGGCATTAACATTGCAGAATGTGAAATGACCTGCCTGCCATAGTTGAAAGAAGCAAAGATTCTATAGTACAATCTTTGTGATATATTATTTTCTCAGTTAATATTTTGTTCCTTTGGGACAGGCTCTGTCATTAAAAAAACAAAAAGCATCTGGCTTTTCTTTCCAATGACATATTTGCTGGAAAGATCAATACTTTATCTGCGTCTGGAGGGTTATATTTTGCTTATAAACATGAGTAGGGATATGTGGCTAGAAGCTGACCTCTGCTGGCAGCTTCTGGTATGATTCGGGGGAAGGAACTTTATCTAGTCTGCCCTGGTGGCTGCTAGCCTTTCCTTCAGTTCAAGCCTGCCTGCCTCTAGCTTTTCCTTGCAACTTCTCTTTTCTTTATTCTTATGCTGTTTTCTGCTATGATAGCAAATTTTGCTTAACAAAGTGTGGAGTTTTCTGTGTGACGAGGCCTTCATAAATATTCTAGCAGTTGACTATTAAAATGAAATGTGCAAAACAGTTTGCCAGGTTGTATCTCATATACACATAATGAGATTCAGTCCTGGAGCTTAACACCAGAAGAGAGAGAGTAACTGGCTTCTCTGTTTCTCTCCAGGAATTGACAAGGAGAATGTTGAACTCTCCCCTACCACTGGCCACTGTAACAGTGGACGAACTCGCCACGGATCCGCAAGCCAAGTGCAGAAGCAAAGAAGTGCTGGCAGTTTCAAACGTAATAGCATTAAGAAGATCGTGTGAAGCTTTCTTTCTTTCTTTTTTTAAACCGACTTAAGATGGGCCCTTCACTAGTGGCCCCTTCCCTGGCCTTGCCCTAACCCACGTGTTGTGATGCTGCACTTCATGTTTTGAACTCATCCGGTCTGCCCTGTTGCCAGATGATCAACTCTTGGAAGCATTGCCTAAATTTAATACTGCTTTTTCTTTAACTTTTTTTTTCCTTCTACTTTTGGCGTGTGTCTGGTTGTAAGCGAGTGTTCAGAACAACTACAAAGAAAGTGGGAGGTCAGGATACTTGCACTGAAAACATCCCAATTGTGAGAGAGGAAGAATTCTTGAATACTTCTATTACTGGCCAGCTATGAAAGCCATTTGCACAGAGCTCTGCGTTCTATGTTTTCCCCTTCTTCATCATACAAAGTAAAGTGTTAGTCTCATTTACACACTTTTCAAGATAGAAGTTTATGGGAGAAATAATATTATAACCCCAATGTGTTTAATCTGACTTTTAGCTGTGGACTTTTTTTAAACCTTACAAAACTGAAGGAACCATAGAGGTCAAGCCTCCGTGACTTCACACCATAAAGCCACAGGCAAGGTACTTTGGGGGGCGGGGGGATTTAGTATTTTATAGTGGATTCTTAAGAAATACTAACACTTGAGTATTAGCAATAATTACAGGAAAATAAGTGTGACCACATATATCTTAACATTATTGAATTAAACTATGGGTTCTGAGGCCTTATCCAAACTCAGTCATCCAAACTAGTTTTGTTTTTCTCTCCAGTTGATTATCTTTTAATCTTTAAATATGCTAAAGGTTGTTCTTTGTTTTGTTTTTTTTGTAAGCCAGAACCATACTAAATATAGTAATTATACATTTTCTCCCCTCCTCTTTTTTCCTAAATAATTCTGAGCAGGGTAATCAGTGAACAAAGTATTGACATTTGTGCCCAGAAGGTAATTTTCATAGATATTTGCATTAGCTTCAGAGCAAAATGGAATGGTACGTGACTCTTAGAGTAGCTGATACTTTTATTTTGTTATAATTTTCTGAGAAACAGAGTATGGCATATATTATAAATTTCTTTGATAAGATGTATTTTAAATATCTTTACATCTTCCCTTCCCCTCCAAAAAAGTCAGGAATCTCTTCAGCAAAACATTCGGATTTATATGATAGAGTTGCATTTAATCACTGTGAAAAGACTGGTCAGCCTGCATTAGTATGATAATAGGAGACCTTTAGAGTTGCTGCTATACTGAATGGTATGGATTATTCTAGTGTTGGAGTTTCCATAGTAATGCAGATCAGATTTCTTTGTGGTACCTGCAATGTGCAAAATAATTTGACTTCAACGAGTATATTAGTATCTGGATGTTCCAATTTAGGACTTAATCATATTTATTACAAAAAGATATTATCCCTATACTCCCAGATTCCCTTTATATGTTAAGATATCACGGCTTTGGGAGGGGAAAAAGAAACCTAGGGGAGAGGGGAGTTTCCTGTAGTGCTATTTTATTAGTGGATTTCAGTAAATTAAATTTCCACAGCTAACTCAGTAAATAATGGTACATTTAAGTGTTCTGATTTTAATAATATAGCACATTTCACATTTATCCACACAGTAACAATGTAATATGTTAATGTAAATAAAATTGCTTTTGATATTCAGAAATAACAAGAATTTAATTTTTTCAATTTGTTTACAGTCCTGGGAAAAGTAAAAACCATTTGCCAAAATAAAAAGGAAAAAAAACCTTAGTATTCATAGTGGTTTTAGCATAGAATTGTTGGAAAATATTGAAGACAGGTGCAATTAACTAAATTTTGTTTTTAACTATCGTAGAGGCTGCATTAGAATGAAATGTTTATAATAAAAGAGCAACTAAGACTGTAAAGAAGCTTAGATCAGTAACCCAGTGCCAAGGATGCCGGGCTGCCGTCTTAGTCTTGGCTGTCCTGCAACCTAGTGCTTCTGGGACAGGTAGCACAGCTTCTTGGCTCCTGGAATAGTAGTCACTGTGAGCCTTTAATAATTTTGGTTTGATGTTTTTTCTTTTTTTGTTTGTTGGTTTGGTGCATATGATGGTGGGTATTATGCTCTTTTGCTTCTCCCATCAAAACAGAAAAATTACCAGAGGTTTACTGTTAAAAATATTGATCTTTCCATTAAACAAGTTTACCCAAGGTGTGACATTTCATACCTCATGAAATGATCAGCGTTGCACAAATCAAAATTGAGCCTTCTTTGAACTGCAAACTTACTTTTGACCAGTGCCTCCTGGGAATTTGAAATCTTACTAAGGTTTAAAATTTACCTTGTTTTTAAAAGAACTTCCAGCTTTTGAGGAAAATCTAGCTTTCCAAGTAACTAAAATGAACTTGAAATAAATCTCTCACCAATATGCTTTCCCTGAGAAATGAAATGCTTTTTTAGTCCTCATACCTGTAACCTACAAAAGAAATTCTGAAATTGAGATCAAGTTGCCCATTTTGCATAATTTGATGTAAGTTCTGTAAAGAACATTATAAATAATTTGTTTTGGGTTTGTGGATGTTTCCCCTGACTTTTTAAAGAGGAAAATAGTAACTTAATCAAGTTTTTGTCACGCATAATCTACCTGTTATGCCAGTGCTCCTGTCCTAGGGGTGTGCCCTTGTTTGCCAACATGGAGGTGCAGTTCACTAGCTTTGGGGAAAAGTGGCTAGAGCTCTGTTCTCCATTCACTCAGCACTTGCTCATTACCGAGCCAGGCACTGAGGACACCACAGTGAACAGTGAGCTTCCCCCACTGTGGGCAAATGCCCTAGTGCTGGAGACGGAGTTCAAGCCAGCAACTCTCCTGGATTTGTAGCATTTAGGGGCTTTCAGCTTTGTTTGGGTTTTTGTTTGTTTTTAGGTTTTGTTTCTATATCCCCCCACTCCCCCCAGGCGTAATGAGGCATGTCTTATTCAATGTTATGCAATGGACTTATACAAAAATTCCCTTAGTGTCAGCCACACGATTTTTTTTTAATGCAGTATATTCACCTGTAAATAGTTTGTGTAAAATTTGACAGAAAAGTATATTTACTACACTGTAAATACATGTGATGATATATTGTATTATTTTGCTTTTTTGTAAAGCAGTTAGTTGCTGTACATGGATAACAAAAATTTGATTATTCTTGTGTTAGTATTATTAACTTCTTCCTGCGACTGCGTTACATCATTTAAAGAAAATGCTGTGTATTGTAAACTTACATTGTATATGATGACTTACTCGCCTTTCCATCCTAAACTTTGGCAGTTTCCTTGTTTATAACCTTGTTAATATTGTAAGATCATTTAAAGAAAATGCTGTGTATTGTAAACTTACATTGTATATGATGACTTAACTCGCCTTTCCATCCTAAACTTTGGCAGTTTCCTTGTTTATAACCTTGTTAATATTGTAAGCAGTTGTGCGCCAGCAGGAGAAGTACTGCCAGCAGACAAAACTGATCATTGTAGGGGAAACCATAGAACTCCGTTTCGGATCATTGTTGTCCCCACCCGTTTTCTCCCTGGTGTATGTACTCCCCTGCCTTCCCCCGTCCCGCCTTTTTTTTTTTTTTTAAGTAAAATGTAAATTCAATCTGCTCTTAAGATGTGAGGAGTTATTTAATTTCTTTACATGCATCAAGCTCTGTTTTCTCACTTCCCCTCACTCTTCCATCATCTTTGGAAACATTAAGGCCATTTTCTTTCTTTTAAGGAGGTTTTTGGTCTCTTTCTCCCTTCACACCCACGGGAAAGATCTTTCCATTTCCAGAACCTTTCTAAACTTTAAAAAGTAAAATAGTTTTGGTGAAATGCTTTATTTAGGGGCTGCCACACTCAGGTATTACTCTCTTCTCTGGTACAGGCTAATTTCTTTTTAAGTGAACAGTCAGAAACGTCGGGATACCCCAAGATTAGCTAGTCAGAGGGCATGTGTTAGGACCCCACAATTCTGTCCAACTTTTCACCTCCACCTACAGAATCTTCAGGGACACTGCATGTTTAAACAGTGTAAACCACCTCCCCTGGCTCAGCTGCCCAGGGTTTTACCAGTTCGTTTACCCCTTTATGTGGGCTACCATCCCCTCCTGATGGAGAAGGAATCCAGTCTAGACCCTGTGGGCAGGACCGAACTGTCCTTAGAAGGATGACAGTGTCTGGCATTGAACAAAGGACTAAAAACAGATGCCCACAGGTCTGGGGCAAGTGCTGGCATGTTTATGGGCAGGCTGGGACGGCAGGGGTACCTCGCCTGTAGAGCTTGCTAATACTCTGGTCCCATCCCAAACCCCAGAAACAGAGGCAAAGTCTCCAGGGATGGGGTCCTGGGAGAAGAGTTTTTGGGGTGTGACCCTCTGGATCACACCTTCCATTCCTGGACAGCAAACTCCTTGAGGCCATGGACTATGTCTCATATCTATCATGGGCCCCTGTGCCCATGGTTTGTCTGCACAGGGCTTTGCTTTCTGGAACACTTGGGCTAGTCTGGCGATTCTGAAATGCCTCACCAGAAGACTTGATTCCTACAGGGTGTTGGGGAGGGGGCTGGAGGTGCATATTTTTAAGGGAAGAAAATGTCTACAGATGTAACCTCAGCTGATTGTACGCATTTGTTCAAAGAAACATTTCCAGTTGGTTATAATTGTGCCCAGCCCTGTGCTAGGCATTGTGCATATGAAAGAAAAAAGTTTGGTCTCTGCCCTGTATGAGTTCATGATTTCGTGGGGAAAACAGACATATAAACAATGATCACAGTGGCCCAAGATATGGACAGGGTTCTTGCAGGGTCCCAGATGACTGGCAGCGTTGGTGACTGAGGAGTTGGGTCTTGAAAAATGACAGGAAGTTTGTCCAGGTAGAGAGATGTGCAGTGAGCAGTTGCAAACAGTGTTCCGGAGTCTTTAGTGTACAAGGGTAACGGAGGCTGTGGACAAACTGGTCCCGAGAGGGCAAGTAGCAGAGAAGAGTTTGGCAGAAGGCAACACACCACAAGCGAGGTTGGCTCATTGTGTTATTTTCCTCGATTCTTTGGTCCCACTTTGGGGAATGCAGCCTAATTTTCTACATGTAAAAATTACATGAAGACATATCTTAGCCCCAAACCACAAAAATAGGGGCACTCTTTCTAGTCCAGCTATTCTAAATGTTTTGAGTCTAGCCCAAAGTTAAGAGGAATGAGAAAGCGGCAGCGAGGGGTGCTCATTTACCAACTTGGGAGTTTGTGAATCGGAGGCGGAAAGGAAGCAGGCTATCTATGCCTGAATCAAAAACTCCACCGCTGCCGCCTGCACTCTTAGCTAGGATTCTACAGGGGACAAAAAACTTCATTACCAAAATACCAAGTCTTTTTGAGTTTGCAGCAGTCAGTCACTCAGCAACCATTTGCTGGGCCTCTGTTTTCACAAATCAGCTGGAGCACAGCACCTCTTGGAGATGCTTTACAGAGCCCATCTGCTGCTCCTATGACTGCTTTTCTGTTACAATGCTGTGATCAACTATCTTCCTACCTCCCTGGTTAGACTGTGCTCCTTCGGGTATAGGGACCATGCTTTGTTGGAAGGTGCTCAATAGACGGTTGCTGAATAACACTTAAGGTTTTATGTTATCAGGGAACTATATAAATAGAATTATAGGAAAAAAGACCCCATTCTTAATAGCAACCCCTGGGCAAAATCTCTAGCAAAATAGAGTTGACCTGTGTAATAAAGACCTGTTGAGAACTCTAATCCAGATTTTGAGATTTCACAGATCAGTGAAATTCTCAAAATACATTTTATATATTTAGCATTTAGAAACAAGAAAAAAAAATCTGACATAGTTTGTTACAAAGGTCATTTCAACCCCAAAAGAGTAGGGAAGGAGGAAATCACAGGATAAAGTACAGATCTTTAAAAAAGGAATTAATTTTGCTTTATAAAAAAGTCACTGTGCTGTCCTTATTTTTCTCCCATTGCTGTTAATTCAGTCCACACAGCGCTGCTCAGCGGAGGCATGTGAGGGGCTGGGCTGAAAGGAGGCCCCAGAAAATGGAGAGACAGACCCCGGTCCTGGACGGGAAAGGTGAATATTATGGAGTGCCAGTTCTTCCTAAGTCAATGTACTGGCTGGACACAATTTTGATCAAGATCCCAACAAGAAGAGTGTATCCAGACAAAATGATCCCAGAGTTCACCTTGTAGAATAGACAAAAGAGCATAGCTAAGAAAAAAAAAAAATTTAAGGATAGTTGGAAACTTTTCTTACTGGGTAGTAAATATAGACATTTAAAAATATTTAAACCCATAATAATAATTAGACTAGGTAAATAGGATGGAACAGGCTAGAAGGTCCAGATTATGCTATGGTTTTTTAAAAAGCAGGAGTAACCCCCAAATGTCACTGGCTTCAAAGCCACAAAGCTTATTTCTCACCCTTGCTACACGTCCCTCACCAGTCAGCAGGAGGCTCTGTTCACTCATTCCTTAGGGCCCCAGAGTGACTGATCAGCCACCACCACAAATGGCTGGCCATCATGCCAGAGGGAAAGAGGGGGCTCAGGCTGCGCTGCCCCGTCGACCCTGGTGATGAGAGAAATGTTCCATATCTGCACTGTCCAGGACAGTGACCACTAGCCACCCATGGCTTTTGAACACTTGAAATGTGGCTTGTGGGGATTTAAAAAATTTTAAGTACATGTGAATAGTTGCCTGTGGCTAGTGGCTACCAGGTTAGACAGAGCAGTATTTGGAAGGTCTTGCATCAGCAATTAATGGCTTGAAGCCAGATGTGCAGTCACTTCTGCTCACAGTCATTGCCAGAACTTGTCACACAGCTTTACAAAATAACAAGGGTCAGAAAAAGCTATCCTCTTTCCAGGAGGAAAGCAGGAAATGCCAGCCAAGAACATTAATGACTCCTACAATAGGGAAGGACTTTGTGAACCTAAAAGCAGTGGAAGAAATCCCGAAGATCCTGCTTTGCCTAAGAGATTAAATGTCCCCATGTCCAAAAATCCCACAAAGTTAAAAGGCCAAATAATGGGAAATTGACCGTAATATATAGAGTTCATAAAAATTAATTTTAAGAAAAGACCCAAGTAGAAAAACAACAACAAAAATGGGCAAAGGACATGAATAGCTAATCCACAGAAAGGAAATACTGTACCAATTGTAATTACTGTAAGGTGGAAAAGATCATCACACTCAGTAAACAAAAAAAAGCAAACCGAAACAGTGGGATGTCATTTTCATCTGTCGAATTAGCAAAGACGCTTTTAACTAATACTTGGTGCTGGTCAAGAGTGCAGTGTGGTGGGCTCAGCCTAGAGAAAGAAATGGTGAAAGAGCTAAGACTTTCATCAAAGTATTATTTATAATATCAGAACACCCGAAGACAACAAAAATGTTGGTTAAATTAGCTACGTTCACCTAGCACTTTCTGGAAGCTGACTGCTTCCTTATGTAGCCCTTTAAAATGGGCTTAAAGAATAACATTTAAATTTGGGGGGAAATGTCCAATAGAATCCAGAGTTTTAAAACTGCATATGAAGTCTGATCCCCAATTATGTAAATAAATAGATAAATATATGTGTGTATATACAGTTTATATAGTTTATACACAGGTAAACGATGAACAGGAAATGCATCCAATATTTACAATAACTATGTATGGTTAATTTTTGTTTCTTTTTTATCTCTATATTTTCTAAGATTTTTGCAATGAGTGTTATTGCTTTAAAAACAAGTTAGGTTGTTTTTAAGAGGTGAGGATAATGCTGACTTTTAATTATACTAATAAAGGTGTACATAATAGTGGAATTTATTAAATTAACTATCATCTCTTGGGCATTTTTACCTTTATCCTTTTCCTTTTGTCAAAAGGTGGCTTTTTTCCTAATTTAGATTCCAGGGAGGTGGGTTTATTTTCCCTTCCTAGGGGAGTATTTGCATAACTGGTTTATAATGGTTCGGGTGAACTGCCTGTCAAGTCCACTGGCTGGAGAGGGTGCTGGTCCCCACCAACCTTTCACTGTTATTCTGTTACTTCTGCTCACAGCTTACAATCTTTCAAGGTTAACAAGGTTGATGGGAATGGTCCTTGCCTTCAAGAAGTTCTCAGACTACTCAGGGGTGTATAAATCCATATAGTTGTATAAATACATAGTGAAAAGTGTGCACACAACTATAATGCAGTCATTTTCCTCGACTCTTTGGTTCCAGGCACCTGCTCCCCATCCCCGTTCTCCTCCTGCTGCTCTGACAGCACTTCCTTCACCCTCCTCTTTACCCTCGGCTTCTTTTCTGATCTTGGAATGATCCCTTCAGCCCTTTGAAGAGGACCTGGTGTCCTGGCCAGGGGAGGGGCAGCAGATGAGCAGAGTATCACAGTGCATCATGAGAACACTTTAGGAGAGTCTGCATGAAGTTCTGTAAGAGCAGAGCCATGAGGACAACTAAATCAGGGCAGACTTCTTGGAGAGGGAGGCATTTGAAGGATGACTATGGGGGTGGAGAAGGGAGGACAATCCAGGCAGAGAGCAATCCAGGCATGTGCAAGGCAAGCCGGCTATTTCATTGATCAAGTCCATGTTGAATCGCTGTCTTGGAGTCTATGCCACATAA